CAGAAGCTCATTTTTTAATAAAAGGGGGACCTATAGGGCTAACTGTTTTTGGGTAACTGTTGCCTTGCTTGCTGACCTTGACCTTGATATCCTCCCTATGTTAATTCCCTGCCAAGTTCCACCCTCCTGAATGCTTAAGGAAGTTCCTTGTCTGTGTATCCTGAATAATGGGTGTTAACAGCTTAGATGCAAGATTGTAAAACATCAGTATCGAACTTCTGCCCTCCGGGGTTCTCCCATTGTGCTGTAAGCCTGCATTTAAGACCTCCTACCCCTTCAAGAAATGACATTCAGCATTTAAAAAAAAATGGAGGAAGAGCAGACATCTATAATCGAGGCAACAGGAAGGTAGGAGCAGGAGCTCAGGATCATCCTCAGCTACATGATGAGTTTAAGGGCAGCCTGGGCTACATGATGCCCTGTGAAGGTCAAGAGAGTTGAGGCAAGAGAAGGCCATAAGTAATCCTTCAAAGGATTATGGGCAGCTGCTTAACATTAAGAGAAAAATATCTATAGTGATGAAATATGAGAAGGCTATGCTGAGAAACACTGTCATCTCAGATACAATCACCTACAGGTCAGTTATAGCAATCATCCTGATAAAAGAACAGAAAGATATTCAAAGCTATGCATGGAAATCAGAGGGGAACACTGTAGCACACCTGTGTCCAGCCCAAATAGCCTCAGGAAATACCTGATATCTCAAGTCTTTTCTAAGTGAAAGGACAGGAACAATGGTTGTTAATAGTACTTTATTCAGTATTGTTTTTAGTAAGCATACAAAACATTTTCACATGCACACCACTCAACTTGTGTGACTTGCTGCCCCATTTCTGTCTGCTACCCCACCAACTTGTCAACACTTCCCCCACTTTTCAGGTCCTCTGTGTGCTGTGTATCCGCCCGCCTCTGCATGTGTGTGCCCGCCTGTGCATGTATGTTTAGGTCAGTCACAGGAAAACTTGAAAGTTATTCTGTCCTTCCACTGAGGGTCCCAGGGACTGAACAATCCCAGGTTGTGAGGCTTGCATGCCAAGTGCAGAGCCATCTTGTCAACCCCTAAAACTCATCTCTTTATAAAGCACCCAACCTCTAGTACTTTGTTATAGCAATAGAAAATGGACCAAACACTAAGAAACAAATACTCCAAAACCATTTAATTCTAGGAAGCTAGTTTAATAAATAAGGAACCCCAAAGTCTTCAAAGATGCACCAAAAATGAAATGAATAATCAGTCCCGTCATTATTCATGGGAAAATTAAAAAGAAAAAAGGGAGAAGAAACAGAGGTTGATAACCATTCTTTTCACAGAGGTAAATACTGTTTTAATGACTCAATGTCACTGAAAGTTTAGACTAGGAAAGAGGAAAATAGGAGTCCACATTTGCTTTATACAGTGCTGGGAAGTCAATTACCTGTCACACTGTTCAAGAGTGGCTTGCTAAAACGTTGAAGAAATGAAAGACTTCATCTTTGTCATAGACGGCCACTTCAGTGGAACACTCTGTGCACATGACAGGGTGATAGATCTCCTCCACGTCTGTCTCCACGGGACCTTCAGGGTTAGACCTCATCTTCTTAGCACCCCACTTTTTCTTCCTGTTTTCTGGATTCTTGTATCTTAGAACCTCCTCTCTGTTGACAGAACAATTCATCACAAACATTGCTCTGTACTGAGTCTTGTAGGATTCATGCCTAGAAGGAGAACGAAAAGGAGAGTTTGGATTTAATAGTAGTCATTTTAGATCACATCTGAGAACACCTACATCAACAGCCACCAAAATAAAGATGGGGATTAAATTTGAAAGAGTCAGCCAGGCATTGGTGGCGCACGCCTTTAATCCCAGCACTCGGGAGGCAGAGGCAGGCGGATCTCTGTGAGTTCGAGGCCAGCCTGGTCTATAGAGTGAGATCCAGAACAGGCACCAAAACTACACAGAGAAACCCTGTCTCAAAAAAACAAAAAAAAAAAAAACAAAAAACTTTGAGTCATTTATTTACTTATTTCTTTGAGACACACCTACAAAAGCTAACCTAGAACTCACAATCCTCCTGTCTCAACCTTTCAAGTAATGAGAATGCAGGCATGCACTGTCATTCCATGGAGAAATATATTTCTTAAATGGAATGTAAGGTTGGGCACAGTGGCACACACCTTAGATTCCAGCACTCTAAGGAGGCAGAGACAGAGGGGTCTCTGTGAGTTCATGGCCAGCCTGATCTACATAGTTCTAGGACAACCAGGGCTACATAGAAACTCTGCCTCAAAAATAAATAGAAGATAGATAGATAGATAGATAGATAGATAGATAGATAGATAGATAGATAGATAGATAGATAGATAGACAGATAAACAGACAAATAAATAAATGAAAACATATTGCTGGGCTGGGAATATAGTTCAATGGTAAAGCATGCCCAAAGTCTTGAGGTTTGATCTCCAGCACTGAAAAAATTAATTTTTTTAGAGAGGATCTCACTATGTATCCCTGACTGGCCTGGAACTCCATATGTAAACCAAGCTGGTCTCATACTCACAGAGATTTGCCTGCTTCTGCCTCCTGATTACCAGGCTCAAAGGCATGTGCCACCATGCCTGGCACCAGCCCTGAAGCTTTTAAAATTTGTTTTCTCCTTTTGAGACAGGTTCTCACTACGTTTCCCTGGCTGGCCTGGAACTCTCAGAGGCCCACCTGAAAGAGACCACCGTACTCACGGACCGCAGATTAGGCATAAACCACACAGAAACACCTGTTTTCACAGAGAGATCCTTTATTAAGTGGGGAAGAAAAGTTAAAGTGGCTGCTTTCTGACTCAGGCAGCAAATGAGCGTGCAGGTGTGATGTTTAAGAGGCGGAAAAGGGAGGTCTGTGTTAGAATGGGCTAGGACACAGTGGTGTATCTTGACTGGGCGTGTTAATTAGGTGAACCAAAGGAAGCTTTTGATTACTGGACTTCAATACTTTGATAGCTGGTCCTTGGTGGTCAGTCTCAGGAGGAGGAAGTGGCCAAATAAGGGGACAGCCCTTAGTGGCTAGCTTTAGGGACGTCACCTAAACAGTAACGGTTTCTAGATAGGCAGAGGGAACGGAGAAGGGCAAGGCCTGCCAGAGCCACATGCTCCAGCGGACTAGTGGCTGACACTTCAACAAAAGTCAGAAACACTTAATGTTCTGTCTAGAATTATTTGAGGTTTGTATTGTTTTGTATAAAAAAAAAAAAAAAAAAAGTTTAGGCCCCAGAGAAGCTAGGTAACAAGGAGGACCCTAAGAGGGACACATGGATTATCTTGGGAAGGGGAAATAGATGAGATTTCCTGGGTAAACTGGGGGAAGGGGGGGTATGGAGGGGTGGGAACATAATGGATCAGGATGGCCGAGTTGGGGGAGGGACAGAGAGGGAGAGCAATGAAAGAGATATCTTGATGGAGGGACATTATAGGGTTAGGCAGAAACCTGGTACCAGGGAAACTCCCAGGAATCCACAAGGATGACCCCAGCTAAGACTCCTAGCAATAGTGGAGAGGGTGCCTGAACTGGTCTTTTCCTGTAATCAAATGGTGACTACCCTAATTGTCGTTATAGACCTTTCATCCAGTAACTGATGGAAGCAGACACAGAGAACCACAGTCAAGCACTGGGCTGAACTCCAGGAGCCCAGTTGAAGAGTAGGAGGAGGGATTATATTAGCCTTTAATCTCAGCACTCGGGAGGCAGAGGCAGGCAGATCTCGGAGTTCAAGGCCAGCCTGGGCTACAAAGCAAGTTCCAGGACAGCCAGGGATATACAACAGAGAGAAACCCTGTCTCCAAAAAAAAAAAAAAAAATAGATTTATTGTATTTTTTTTTTTTTTTGGTTTTTCGAGACAGGGTTTCTCTGTGTAGCTTTGCGCCTTTCCTGGAGCTCACTTGGTAGCCCAGGCTGGCCTCGAACTCACAGAGATCCGCCTGCCTCTGCCTCCCGAGTGCTGGGATTAAAGGCGTGCGCCACCACCGCCCGGCTGATTTATTGTATTTTTATATGTACAACTGTTTTGCCTGTATGTATGTACACCACATGCATGCCTGATGCTTGCAGGGGTTAGAAGAAGGTGCTGGATACTGAGCTGCCCTCTGGGTGCTCAGAACCAAACCTGAGTTCTTACAGATGTGTTTATTTATCGTGTATTGAGTGTTCTGCCAGCATGTATGCCTGCAGGCCAGAAGAGGGCGCCAGACCTCATTACAGATGGGTGTGGGCCACCATGTTTGCTGGGAACTGAACTCAGGGCCTCTGCAGCCAGTGCTCTGGACTGCTGAGCCATCTCTCTCCAGCCCATTCTTGTTTCTGAGGCAGGTCCTCACTTTGTAGCTGAGAGCAGTCTTAAACCTATAGCAATCATCCTGTTTGAACCTGCAAGTACTGGGATTATAGACCAGCAGAGGTTTGAATTACTATTAGTGAATAATTGCACTAATAATAGCTTTTTTTTTTTTTTTTGGCTTTTCAAGACAGGGTTTCTTTGTATATCCCTGGCTGTCCTGGAACTCACTCTGTAGACCAGGCTGGCCTCAAACTCACAGAGATCCACCTGCCTCCGCCTCCCAAATGCTGGTATTAAAGATGTGCCTCTCCTCACCCGGCAATAACTATTAACAACTGTTATTTTTAAAAACTGTCCCTTGTGCTCGATTCAATTCAACAGCACATATATTAAAACTGAAACAATACAAAGAAAATTAGCATGCCCCTGTGCAAGGATGACATTAAATTTTTTTTCTGAGACAGAATTTCTCTGTGTAGCTCTGCAGCCCAGGCTGGCCTTGAACTCACAGAGCTCCTCCTGCCTCTGCCTCCCAAGTGCTGGGATCAAGGGGTGCACCAACCCTGCCTTGCTCTCGCTCCTGTGTTTTAAGCATCACACTACCAGAGAGATGAACTTTTAGCAAACCCACTCTGTTCTTCAGATTCCTGTAACTGTATCCTATGTTACAGTTACTACTTTTCTACATTTTGGTCAAATAAATGTTTACATAAACAGCAACAACAAATTCTGACTTAAGCAAAGGCCCATCAAACTGTTTTGGTTCCGGGAAAGGCTTGTTGGAGGGTGGGGGTTCGCTCGTTTGGGGGCATGTGGTATGTTTACCTCTGTCCCTTACCTCTGGCAATCAAGGCACAGTGTAGTCATGCAGGCAGGACAATTCAAAACGGCATCACTGTTTGGAACCGGCTGCTGTTTCTGATGTGGTCTCCGCAATCCAAAGGCATGATAACTAAAACAGAAAAGTAAATTTGAGAAGGAAAAATACATTAACCAACCAAATCCTGGTTTCTAATATCACTGTCCAGAAAACGGAATCAGTACTCAGAGAAATGACTAGTTACTTTATTATTATTGTTTATATTTTTGATCTGTTTTTCTTTATGGATATGAATGTCTTATCTTCATGTAGCTAAGTGCACTACATGCATGCCTGGTGCCCTGGGAGGTCAGAATAAGGTGTGATATCTCCAGGAACTGAGAGTCACCATGTGGGCGCTAGAAACCAAACTCAGTGCTCTTAACCGATGAGCCGTTTCTCCAGCACCAGAAATGGGTAATTCTAGGGATCTGGTTTACAAGATCTATCTAAAACACCTTGGAGAAGCAGAAAGTTAAAAAAAAAAAAAAAAAAAAAAGTGCTCAAAAATAAAAAAAAAATAAAATAAAATAAAATTTCAAGGTGACAGAGCCTAACTCCTTAAGTCTGGACTGCACACAGTAATTTTCTTTCAAAGTAGACAGTATGGTGGGAAGTGGTAGTCAATGCTTGAAATCCCAGCACCAGAGACAGAAGCAGGGGGATCCAGAGTTCAAGGTCAGTATGAGCTAAAATGAGATGTGTCTCATAAAAACCAAACCTGACAACAAACCAAAATCCATAATATCAGTGTGATTGTGAGGAAATCTCAGGTGAATTCTAACAGGAAACTAACTCTTTCTCACAGCTGGCCATGATTCAAAATACTTAAGAGACCAAAAACAAGGAAAATCTAAGAAACTATTTTTACATTTGTAGTCACAAACTTAAGCCAGGCGCTGGTGGCCTTTCACTCCAGCACTCAGGAGGCAGAGGCAGGCAGATCTCTGAGTTCAAGGCCAGCCTGGGCTACAGAGTGAGTTCCAGGACAGCCAGAGCTATACAGAGAAACCCTGTCCCCTGTCTGAAAAAACTTAAATTGGCCAGGCAAGGTGTCCCACACCTGTATTCCTAGCAGTAGAGACAACAGCAGGAGATTACTAATTAAGCCTGGACTATATATACCGTGAGCTCCAGAGCAGCCTGGGGGAGGGGCACGGCACAGCTGGGGAGACGCTTGGTAAAGCACCTGCTGTGCAAAGTTTAAGGCCTGAGCTAAGAGCCCAAAGCCACATAAAGAGCAGGCACACAGGTACGGGCCACATTGCTCTCCAGGATAGCAGGATGGAGACAGGCACGGGCCACTGGAGCTCAGCCAAGCAGAGCTCTGGGTTCAGTAGAGACTGTTACAAAAACTGAAGACAGAGGAGCTGGTAAGATGGCTTACCAGGTAAAGGCGCTTGCGACTGACATGACAACCAGAGTTCCACCTGGAGAACTACATGATGGAAACAGAACTGACTCCCAGAAGCTGTCCTCTAACCTCCACAAGGATGCCTTGCCATGCATGCACACAGCAATACTAAATCTTAAATAAACAAATGTAAAGTAAAATAAATTTGGAAAGCTAAGGCAGGAAGAACAAAAGCTCCCAATGCCAGCCTGAGCTACACAGTAAATCCCAGGCCAAACCATGCTTCCTCGGAGATCCTGACCCCAAAACAAAATAAAGGAAGTTTCAGGAAGTAAACAGCAGGGGGGCGCTGGAGGAAGCAGCACAGGCATAAATCCGAACCAGGAAAGGACAGGGAAAGAACTGGAGCTAAGGGTGTGTACAGAGATCCCACAGCAACATCAACCCTCCAGACCTGGAAAACAGCCAGCCATCCCCATCTGGATTGAAGCACAGCCTCCTAGGCACCGAGTGTAGCTCAGCAGCGTAGTGCCTGCCTAGCATGTACAACAGCATAAACTCAATCTCCAGCACCACACACACACACACACAAGCACACAAGAAGTTCATACACAGAATTACCATGCGATCCTCCAAGGCTCCTCCTATAACCAAAAACACACAAGTAGAGACTCAAACAAACATCTGTACACTATGGTGATATTTTATTTGTACTGAAATGTGATTTTAATTGTATGTTAATAAATAAAGTTGCCCGGGGGTCAGAGCTATTAGCAAGCCATAGGAAAGCAGGGCAGTGGTGGCGTACGCTTATAATCCCGGCACTTGGTAGGCAGAGCTAGGTAAGCCTCTGTGTGTTCAGGGATACAGCCAGCATTGGAGACACATGCCTTTAAGACCTGGAGGGCTGTACTTACAGGCAGTGATGAAGCAGTCACGTGTTTGGGTTTACAATCAATGAGAAGGCAGAACAGAAAGACTATATAAAGACAAACAGACAGGAAGTAGTTCTCTTTCGGAGAGGTCTATTGGCTTAAGAGGCTAGCAGCAGGCGGTAAGGCTCTTAGCTCTGTTCTCTTGGCTTTCTTCTTTGCATTGGTTCTGTGTTTCTTATTTAATAAGACGGTTGGTTACATCTACAGTATACCAGTGTTGCCAACACTACTACAGTCAAAAGGTACTTAGAACACAAACATCCTTTGGTGGGCATCTGGATAAAAAAGTCAAGGTATACACATGCAATGGCACCGCTCAGAGTACTGGGCTACAGTGCAGACGAGCCTGGACAGCACTGTGCTCTTGAGCCTGCAAACTGATGCAAACTTTTAATCTCAGAACTCGGGACTAAAAAACAAAATAACAAAAAACATTTGGGAGGCAGAGGTAGACAGATCTCTGAGTATTCAAGGCCAGCCTGGGCTACATAGTGAGTTCCAAGACATCAAAAAATAAAATTAACAATTTAGATGCTAAAACTCTGCTCTCAAAATAATTTAAAATTATAAAATAAGCCTGGTGGTACATACTCATAATCCTGGCATTTGGGAGGCCAGGAGTAGCCCTGGGACTTCAAGGCCAGTCTGGGACAGACCCTGTCTCCATAAACAAAAAAACTTTAAAAAAAAAAGTTTTAACATGTCTATTAGGGAAAAGTTAGTTTGGAAAGACCAAAATACAAACCAACCAACCACTGAAGTTAGTTTTATAATCAGGCCTGCTGGTACAGGCCCCATAACCCTGCTTCTGATATAGCTGAGGCAGGAGGACTGCAAGCTCCAGGCCCGCTGGGCTACAGAGTTTCTCTCTAGCTCCCGCCGCCAAGTCCCAGAGCCCACTTATAAAATAAACACACAGACTCTTACATTATTTAAACTGCTTGGCCATTAGCTCAGGCCTGTCATTGTCTAGCTCTTACTCTTATATTTAACCCATTCCTATTAATCTTTACTTTGCCACGTGGCTCGTGGCTTACCGGTCCTTTACATCTTCCTTGTCCTGGAGGCGGCTCCAGGCAGTCTCCCCTCTCCTTCCTGTTTCCTTTTTTCTCCTCTCTGTTAGTCCCGCCTATACTTCCTGGCCACTGGCCAATGAGTGTTTATTTATACAGAGCGATATCCACAGCAAGTGATTTCAAGACCAGCCTGAACAACTTAATGAGACCTTGTTTTAAAAAGCAAAAAGCCAGGGCTGGAGAGATGGCTTAATAGCTAAGAGCATTGGGTGCTCTTCCAGAGGTCCTGAGTTCAATTCCCAACCATGACATGATGGATGGCTCACAACCATCAATAGTGGGATCGGATACCCTCTTCTGGCATAAAGGCATCCATGCAGATAGAGCACTCATATACATAAAATAAATAAATAAAATCTTTAAAAAAAAGCAAAAAGAAGGTTAAGGATAGAGATCCGTGACACAACACTTGCCCAGTATGCTCAAGAGCCTATGTTCAAACAATTCCTAGTACCATGGGGTGGTGGCAAAAGGGAAGGCCAGGCATGGTGGCACATAACTCTAATCCCAGCACTTATGAGGTTGAGGAGGGATTGCTGTGCAGAGCAACATACATGAGTCCCAGGCCAGCCAGGGCTGCATAGCAAGACCCTGTCTCACAAGAGCAATTCTTAAATGAAGAGACTGACTATGACAGTTTAGATCCATCAATAACTCAACAATTAACTGTTGTGGTGACACAAACTTGTAACTCCAGACAGCATCTGGAAGGTGGAGGCAGCAAGATCAGGAGTTTAAGGCCAGCCCAACTACATACTAAGTTTTGAAGCAGCAGGGGCTACATGAGAATCTATTTTAAAAATAAAGAAAAATTCAGCCAGGTATGATGGAACAGACCTTTAATCCCAGGCAGAGGCAAGCGGATCTGAGTTCAAGGCCAGCCTGGTCCATGGTCCACAGTGTGAGTTCCAGGACAGTCAGGGCTAGACAGACAAACACTGTCTTGCAAATAAATAAGTAAATAGATAAATAAATAAACAAACAAATGAATGAATAAATAATCAATTACCTGACTAAAATCTGCTGGTTATTTTCAAACAAGCTATTCAAGTTTTTGTCCTCAAATTGTTTTTGAAGTGTTTGTGTGAAAATAAATACAAATACAGTAAACTATGAAAGCAGGGAAAAAGCACTCTTTCTCTAAAGATTACAGATTTAAATTCTTACCCCCTTCTTTGTGCATCAACCCAGGCTTGGTCTCTGTTGTCTTTCTCAGGGTCATACAGCAGTTCATCATTTGTTGGGATCCTTCGCTGTTTCTTCTTCTTTTTCTTGGTCACGTGTGCTAATTTTTAAAAGGTTGAGAATATGGATCAGAATCATGTTTAAAGTTTACAACTCTTTTTTTTTTTTTTGGAGCTGAGGATGAAACCCAGGGCCTTGAGCTTGTAGGCAAGCGCTCTACCATTGAGCTAAATCCCCAACCCTGAAGTTTACAAGTCTTGAATATAAAATGACTCCTGATTCCCATACTGTGTATTTATTCTATTTACATTATCTTTTAAAAGGATGTCTAAAGCCTTCCTTTAGCCAGCAATCCCAACTCTCGGGAGGTCGAGGCAAGAGACCTACCATGCCTGGACTACACAGTGAGTCCCAGGCCACCCTGGCAACAAATACAAAACCTTACCCCAAAAAACATTCCATGAAATTAAATAAATACAGCTATTCTTCAAATAAGAGTTTTGTCCAATTAAGACACTAAATTAAAAACAGAGGAGGCGTGGTGGGGCACGCCTGTAATCCCAGCACTCCTGAAGCAGAAGCAGGTGAATCTTTGTGAGTTCAAGGCCAGCCTCGTCTAGAGAGATAGTTCCAGGACAGCCAGCGCTGTCTCAAATGTTGGAGCTTTACCCAGCTGGTCCGCATAGAGGATGATTGGCCCACGGGCCTGGGTACCAGGTGTCTGAGATGGTCTGCACTTGGCTGTGCTGGGGGAGGAGGTCTTTTGCTCCACCCCTTGGCGTCTCTATAAAAACCCTGGGGCAGAGACAGTCGGGGCCCGTTGGAAAAGGTTCCAGGCCCTCTTGAGGCTATCCTGTGTTTTCTTTTTCTCTCCCCTCTATGCTTCTAACTAATATTTCCTGATGCTTCTACTCAAGAGTACTCTGGGGAAATGTCAGGGGTGAGGGATGGCCCCCTACACTCAAAAACTTAACAAGATAGAGGAGGCCAAAAGGCTAAGTTCAAAATAATGAAAATTCAGTCTCAAAAACCCATTTAAAACTAACTGGGCATGGTGACACACGTTTGTAATCCCAGTGCCTGGGAGACAGAGGCAATGGGATCATGAACTGCCACCAAGCCTGACCCCTGAGTTCAATGCCTGGGACTCACCTGGTGCCAGAGAGAACTGACTCTCACAGGTCGTCTTCTACAGCCACACAGGAGTTGCAGAATGGACTCCCATAAACACACACATATTGTTTGTTTGGTTTGGTTTTTCAGGACAGAGTTTCTCTGTGTAGCCCTGGCTGTCCTGGAACTCCCTCTGTAGCCCAGGCTGGCCTCGAACTCACAGAGATCCACCTGTCTCTGCCTCCCGAGTGTTGGGACTAAAGGCAGGCACCACCACAGCCAGGCCAGAATAATTTTTCAATTAAATAAAAAGAATGCCAGAATGTGCTTTGGGCCTTGTGTAGCCTGAGCCTCAAACTCACTATGTAGCCTAAGATGATGCTAAACTTCTGAGACCCCTCCCTGCCTTCACTTCGCAAACACTAGGATTATGGGTGTGCACTCAGTTTTATCACTACTGGGAATCACCTTTGGGGCTTTGTGTACACCAGGCAAGCAGTCCTATAGACTGAGCTCCATTCTTAGCCCTAGGAACCACTCCTCACATATAAGCTCGCCACAGCTCTCAAACAAAGACTCAGGCCAGCCTGGGCTGCAGAGTGAGTTCTAGGTCAGATGGGGATACACTCTGAGACCATCTCTCAAATAAACACTAAAATCAGAACAAAAAATATTTAAAACTGAAATGGTAATTCTTTTAAGGTTTATTGCTTTTTATTTTATGTATATGAGTGTTTTGCCTAAATGTATGCAAATACACTCCATGAATGCTTAATGCTTGCTGAGGCCAAAAAGCAGGTCCTCTGGAACTGGAGTTACGGATAGCTGTGAGAGTTAATGCGAGTTCTGGGAACTGAACCCAGGCCCCCTACAAGAACAGCGTGTGCTCTGAACCTCTGGACCATCTCTCTAGCCCAGCGTTTCTCAACCTGTGGGTTGCGACCACTGCTCTAGCCCCTTGCCTAACATTCTTGAGGACCCAAAGTACTTAAAACAAAACAAAAAGGCAGACTTCTAAAACTATGCTCTTAGGCAGGTGTGGTCCTTTAATCCCAGCCCTGTAGGGTGGAGGATAGTAGGGCAGGACAGAGGCAGCCGGGTCTCTGTGAGCTGGAGGCCAGCCTGATATATGTAACAAATAGGTGGAGGTCAACATAAAAACCTAAGAGCCAGATGGTGGTGGCACACATCCCTGAAGGGGATCTCTGAGTTCAAGATCAGCCTGATCTACAGAACAAGTTCCAGGACAGCCAAGGGCTACAGAGAAACGCTATCTTGAAAATGGGGAGAAAAAAAAAATATATATATATATATATATATATATATGTGTGTGTGTATGTGTATGTATACACTCACACCCATACACATATTTATATATACGCATGTATGTGTGCATGTATATAAACATGCATGTCCACACATAAATACATAAATATTTTATTTATATATATATATATATCGCCAGATATGGTGGCAAATGCCTTTAATCCAGTGGTTCTCAACCTTCCTAATACTTTGATCCTTTAATACAGTAATACAGTTCCTCATGTTGTGGTGATCCCAACCATAAAATTATTTTCATTGCTACTTCATAACTGTAATTTTGTTACTGTATGAGTTATACTGTAAATATCTGATAAGCAGGATGTATTTGCAGCTACAAAATGAACATAATTAAAGCACAGTGATTAATTACAAAAACAATATGTAATTATATATTGTGGAATATTTAAATTACAAATAAACAAAATTTCGTCTTGAAGCATGGTGTAGCAAGGGTAACAATCTTAAAATAACAACAGTAAACTACACTGCTACATTTTGCGACAGTGTGTATAAAAAGCTAACCTCAGTGCAAAGGTTAAGACTGCTGCTTGCTCACCAGATCAGAAATTCTCAGGGCAGTCTTTGCAAGAGCACAGTCTGCTTCTGTATTCAGATTTGATAACCAGTAAGCTGGAACACCTGTTTCACAAAGATATGTTGTTGGAAATGGAAGAAGGCGCAACTCAGTCTCAGAGAAAAGAGGAAATGACTGCAGACACTCGATCCAGAATTCTGTAATGGCATCGTAGAGAAGTCAGTTCTCACTGCATGGCTGTTTAAGTTCAGTGAATTCCTCTTGTGCTGTCTCAGGAATACCTTCAACCCGACTGTGAATGGACTTTTGGCAGAGGCTAATGGGTGTCTGGTACATTTGGAAAAGATGATGAAATTTCATGTGCAAGTGTTCTTTCACAGAAACTATCATCCTAATCCTTCTGTCTGGTTCACTGTCATGTTCCTCAAAGAAGGCAGCTTAGGTAGGCAACCTGTGAATTCTATTATCATCTTTTTTTTTTTTTTTTTTTTTTTTTTTGCCAAAGCTAAATTTTCATTTGGAATGATCGGATCTTTTCAGACAAATCCAGGCATGCTGCATTTGGTCCTTGCAGTGATAAATTTACTTCATTCAAGATGGCAAAGATGTCGACCTAGTAAGCTGTTTTCTGCAATTCATTTTCATCACTGAAAAGTGCTTCCAACTGTGGTCTTGCTTTCTGAGGGGGCTGGAGAGGTGGCCTAGCGGTTAAGAGCACTAGCTGCTCTTCCAGAGGTCCTGAGTTCAATTCCTAGCACCCACATGGTGGCTCACAACCATTTGTAACGGAATCTGATGCCCTCCTCTTCTGGTGTGCATGAAGATAGAGCATTCATGTACATAAAATACATAAGTAAATAAGTCTAAAAAAAATTGAGTTCATCACGAAGCTCAAAAACACGTTTTAAAACTTTTCCGCTGGACAACCAGAGCTTTGTTCAGAGTATCCAACTCCCTGCAGCTGTAAAAACAGTTGACTGTCTAAAGTGCTCTCACATTGACAAACTGACAGAACTTACGACGTTTGCCATGACTTCTTGTAACCCGTGCGGCAGCATCTTCACTGCTGATATTTGCCTGTGAATCACACAGTGAGGCCCGATGACTGTGGTGCCTCACTGAGCACCACACTGAAGTCCAGATCAGCACCCTAGCACAGCTGGAGCACCGTCTGTGCCAACACCACAAACCCTTTCCCAAGAGATCTCCCGCTCTTTCAGAAATGAACCGTGTCAAATACTTCACGTGCAGTGGTTGTTGATTCAAGAGCTTTGCAAAAAAAGACACTCATCTCTAACGTCGCCATCATTAATATACCTCCTATAAACCAGTAACTGTGAACAGTTTGCAATGTCTGTGGATTCAGCGAGCTGGATAGTAAATAATGGAGCAGAGCAGATTGATTTCCTGGATTCCCTGATCAAGAATACCAGCAGACATGCCATCCATTCTTCTGCAGACAGTGTTCTTAGATAAGGACACTGCATTAATCATGCAACAAGGTCATCTCCAATCATAACTTGGACACTGTCTTTGGCCACGGGCAACAGTAAATCCTCAGCAACAGTGTGAGATGTCATAGCTGTGGTGAGTCTGAGTGCCACCAAACATGAAGCTTCAATGGCTGCTCTATTTTGTTTGTGGTATTTGCCACCAGTGTCAATTTTGGCTTTCCTTTTTTGGGGGGTTTCTTTTGAGACAAAGTTTCTCTGTGCAGTCATGGCTGTCCTGGAACTCGCTCTGTAGCCCAGGCTGGCCTGGAACTCACAGAGATCCACCTGCCTCTACTTTCCAAGTGCTGGGATTAAAGGCGTGCACCACCACCGCCTGACAAGTCTTGCTTTCTTGAGTCCATCAGCTTTGCTTCTAAATTAGTTGGTATCCTTGCTGGCAGAGCTCAGAGGCTCACTATCAAAATGGCGTTTAGTTTGTTTGGCTTCATAGACTTTGCTAATAGAACTTCACAACAAATAACACATTGTGAGTTCTAAATTTCTGCTGTAATTACCATACTGTAAAAAAAATCTTCACTACGGTTTCTTAACATTTTTCTGTACATAATCCATTGTCATAGGATGGTTTTCTAATGAAAACAATATATAACAATAGTTTTTATAAGACAAAAGATGATACATAGCATATTTCAGTCAATGCAGTTCATTAAAATTTCCTATGACTGGCCAGGCATAGTGGTGCACACCTTTAATCCCAGCACTTGGGAGGCAAAGGCAGGTGTATCTCTGTAAGGTTAAGCCCAGCCCGGTCTACAGAGTGAGTTTCAGGACAGCTAGAGATGTTATGCAGAGAAGCCCTGTCTCGGAAAAAAAAAAAAAAAAAAAAAAAAAAAATTCCTATGATTTACCATTCTGTTTTTTGTTGTTTTGTTGTTACATACCTGTTACTATCTACTATCAATAGGGGGGCAGTATTCACATCAACCACAGCAGAATATAAAAGACCGATCAGCAGCCAGATAAAGTTCCCATGGTACAGATTGTTTTCTTGCAGTAGTTGATGGTTTTACATTTACCCAGTAATTACAATTCATCCAGTGTAGTTTTACTCCCAATACTGCTGCTTTCGGCACTCAGCTGCTCTCTACACATGTGCCATGGGTCTACACAAGTGCATCACTGCACCAAACCTGCCGCACACACCTTCGTTTGTTAGGGTGTATGTGAAGGGTTGGTACTCACATGTGGTGTATCTGCATGTGGGCAGACTACAGAAAGCAGACAGAGGAGCAGGGTCTCAGTTCCTAAGAACACTGGAAACAGTGTTTTCTGATGGTCTCAGATGACCCCTGTGAAAGGGGTCATAACCCCCATGGTGAGAACTGCTGTTGTAAATGCACACATCTGCACCCCCTGCCTTTCTCACTAACCAATTCTGCACCTCCATCAACAACATACAATGTCTTTCTTTTTTTTTTTCTTTTGAGACCGGGTCTTACTGCGTAGCTCTGGCTGGCCTACCTCTGCCTCCCTGAGTGCTGGGACTAAAGATGTAGCCACCACACTTGGCTTAGTCTATAGTTTCTTAAAAATAAACTTTAAATAGAGGAGCTGGAGAGATGGCTCAGCAGTTAAGAGCACTGGCTGCTGTTCCAGAGGACCCAGGTTTGGCCAGGGGACCAGGTTTGATTTCCAGCACCCACATGGTGGCTCACAAACATCTCTAACTACAGTTCTGGGGAATCTAACATCCTCTCCAGGCCTCCAAAGGCACCAGGCATGCACATGGTGCACAGCTATACATGCAGGCCAAATACCCATTAACATAAGATTAAAAAAATAAATAAAACTCAGATGAAAAAGCTAGTATCAAGTAACTGCTAAGGCAGATATTATTCATAAAATGCACTGCTAAACAAAAAGATACTCACCTGCTTTGTCTTCATCCTCAGAATCCGAATCAAAATAAATGTCGTCATAGTACTTTGCGGTAACTCCTCCACCACTCCCAACTCCTGAGGAAGTCCCTACCAAACCAGAAGACAGTTTACAAACTACACCACATCTGATCCCCAAGAAAACAAAAGGCCTCCACATATATCTCCATCACCTCAAATAGCATTAATTTATTCACAATCTCATTTGTGTGTCAATATGTTTATTGGTTTATCTGTGTCCTATGCACAAATAGGGAATTACTCCTTGACGAGTTTTCCAATTAGGAGAAAATCACTCTTTCTCCCCAAAAATCCAATTAAAATTTAAATGCCGTATTTCCAGGTTTTCAGCATATATATTCTATATACCTTTTTTTTTAATTTAAAAAGCTGAGTATTTATTTCGCTTTCTGACTCTGTGCTTGTGCCTTCAACACCTTCACAACCATTTTCTGCTCCTCAATAAGGAAAGCCCGCTTGATCCTGTCGCGGACACACTTGGCACACACGGACCCACCGTAGGCCCTGCTGACATGCTTCTTGGTCTTAGACATCCTCATAAGGACTTTCGGTCTCACAGCACGAACCCCTCGAAGCCTGCCTGGGCACACACCGCATGCCGATTTAGGTGCTTTTCCAACCTCTTGGTATAAAGGTAAACAATCCTGTTGCCAGGGGTTCGAGACAGCCTAGTTTTGTTAGAGGCTGTGCTGTAGGAAAGCCTACGACGGTATGTCAAACGCTGGACCATCCTGAGTGCCTCTAAGCACCGTCCCCGGAAGAGGAAAAGGAAAGGGCGGCTTCTATATACCTTTGAATTCACAATACAAATAGCTGTGGGGAATAGGAAAGGGATGTCTTGCTTCAAGGGGCATCAGACAAGACGATGGACCAAGAGCAAACTTCCTCTCTCCAGCTTGTCTTCACATGCCTGTGTCCCTGACTCTTCTCTGCTTCAATTACATCTTTCAGTTCTTAAGTTATAACACAACATGAAAACCAGTTCTGACCAGTCCTACTTATACAAACCAATTTTTGGGTCAAGTAAATTATACATAAAGAGCTAAAAAGAAATATGTTTATTATTCACTACAAAGAGACAGGCATTTGCAGTGACATGCCATTAAACCTGCCATCAAACCCTAAAAATGTTTTGTATGCTGTGGTTGTCTGGTTTGTTTTTGAGACAGGGTTTCTCTGTGTAGCCCTGGCTGTTCTGGAACTCACTGTGTAGACCAGGCTAGCCTCAAACTCAGAGATCTGCCTGTCTCTGCCTCTTGAGTGCTGGAATTAAAGGTGTGCGCCACTACGCCTGGCATGTGTTCAACACTACAAAAGGAAATAATGCATGTACTTGCTACTAAATAGTATCTTTCCAATAACACATGACACATGTCAGTCATTAGCAAAAACCCTGGTAGAGACTGTCAAGCACATTCATTCCTTCATTTAGTAAGTGCTGTATTAATCAGACCCATTCATGCAGATCTGCCACCAGCTACTCCGGAGGCAGAGGCAGAAGGATCATGTAGGCTACAGTGAGTTCAAGACCAGACTGAGTAACTTGGCCAGACCCTGTCTCAAAATTTTAAGAGGCTGGGCTGTAACTTGGTGGTAGAACATTTGCCTAGTAAACACAAGACCCAGCTTTACCCCCATCACCACCCATCATTCATATGCTTCACGCACGCACGCACGCACGCACACACGCACGCACGCACGCACATGCACACACAAACAGTGATTCTTGAGTACCTGTCCCCATAGAGGATAATTTATCCTCCATTGTTTTGATGGTAGAGTTTAGTTCGGCTTCCATTTCCTTTTCAAATTCGTCTTCACTAGATGACTCACTTTCTCCAGTAAGACATTCCCGGATGAGTTTTCGTTTTTGGTCAGGAGTTCCATGTAAAAGCACATCCACTTCATCTTCAGAACTAGCATACATTTAAAGCACAGGGAATATGAATATTAAAATATTTTTTAATTTATTTACTTTATGTATATAAGAGCTTTATCTGCATGTATGCTTTTATGCCAGAATAGGGCATCAGATACCACTATAGATGGTTGTGAGGCACCATGTGGTTGCTGGGAATTGAACCCAGGACCTCTCTGGAAGAGCAACCGCTGAGCCATTTCTCCAACCCTGAATATTAAAAATATTAAAATCAAGGCTGGGATGTGGCATAGTGGTAGAGCACTCACGTAGCATGTGCAAGGCCCTAGGTTTGAAGTGTAGCATCACAAAACAAAATAAAATCACTTAAAACTTCTATCATCTTACTGCTCAACAGCAAATATAAGTTTTACAAATTTACATCTGACATACCTATCACATTACATATAGCAATGATCATTAGTAGGCAATACATCAGCTAATCCTTCCAATTTTCAGAGGTTTTGTTCTGGTTTTTTTTTTTGTTGTTGTTGTTGGTGGTTGGTTGGTTTTGGTTTTTCGAGACAAGATTCCTATGTAGTCCTGCAACTCATCTGTAGACCAGGCTGGCCTCAAATTCAGAGATCCACCTGCCTCTGCCTCCTGAGTGCTGAAATTAAAGGTGTGCACCACCACTGCCTGGCTTCTTCTTTCCCGTGTGTGTGTGTGTGTGTGTGTGTGTGTGTGTGTGTGTGTGTGTGTTCCTGCTTGTACATATATCTGTGCATCAACTGTGTTGCCTGGTGCCCACAGAGGCCAGAAAAGGGCACTGGATCCCCTAGAACTGGAGTTACAGTTAGATGGTTGTGAGCTGCCTTGTGGGTGCTGGGAATCGAACCCAGGTCCTCTAGAAGAGCAGCCAATACTCTTAACCACTGAGCCATCTTTCCATCCCTCTTTCCAACCTCTTGTATTATCACACTGCTTTCCAATACTTGTACCAAGTCATAATTCTATCAACTAATTAAAGCTTACTACACAGAACTGAGTTTTACTTAGACAAAATATATATGCAATTAATATAGTTAATATATCAACATAAAATATAAAGCAATTAAATATAATTTAAAAGACACAGTGCTCCAGAAACTGTAAAAGGAGAAAACTATGTACAATGATTATTTTTTCCTGGTGCTGGTAACTGAACCCAAGGCTTCATGCAGACTAGGCAGCTGCTCTACCCCTGAGCTACATCGCTAGCCCCATGAAACTTACGCTACATTCCCAATTCTCCTGAACAGTTTCTGTCCATTTATATTGCCTTCTGTGATTAGTTTCCTTTCAACAGAATTATAATAGAATTAAATCAGAAATTAGGAGGAATAAAACAACAAAAATGAATTAAGTTGGGGCCAGCAAGATAGCTCATCGGCAGGTACCTGTCACCAAGTCTGTGATGACCTGAATTCAATCCCTAGGACCCACATGCCACATACACAAATTTAAGGAAAAAATGTTATTTAAAATATTTAAATTAATTAAGTCAGATGTGGTGGTGAGAACCTATAATCCCACACTTAGGAGGCCAAGGATGAAGAGTTCAAGAGCATCATCAGCTGCACAATGGAGTCAAAGCCGGCCCTGGGCTACCGCAGACCCTGTCTCAAACAAGAACAAATTAAATGTCTAAGACCTTTCTAATACAATATGAAGAGCATACACGATAATAAGGATGAGGCTGTAACTGAGTTGGAAGAGTGCTTGCCTGGCAGGCACAAGGCTGGATCTGAGCACCAGCATCACATAAAACACTTGAGAAATGGAAGCAGGAGGATCAGAAGTCACTAGCCTGGGATATATGAGATGCTGTATCAATAATAATAGCAGATTCTTCATAAGCAGAATATTCCTGACTTCTGTTTTCTTTTTCTTTTTTTGTTGTTTTTTGAGACAGGGTTTCTCTGTGTAACAGCCCTGGCTGTCCTGAAACTCACTCTGTAGACCAGGCTGGCCTTGAACTCACAGAGATCCACCTGCCTCTGCCTCTCAAGTGCTGGGACTAAAGGGTATATCAACCACCGCCGCCCAGCTTGACTTTTGTTTTCTTACTGAACAATGCTTTTTAAGGCTCCACCAGAAAGTTAATCAGAAAAATGCAATTCACTCCAGTGAATTTTGCTGATGACTACAGGAAGGTTGCTTGTCTGTCTGCCTGTTTGAGACAGGGTTTCACCGTGCAGCCTAACTGCCCTAAATTTACAGAGCCTCCCAAGAGCCAGGATTAAAAGCAAGTGCCACCACACCTGACAATGGCTAAGGTTTTAACCAGAATCTATTCCCAAGAAAATGCCTTAAATTGGCCAGCATGCTAGACTCCCCTATTACTCCCACCGTCACAACTATTTTCACTTAACTCCACCTCCAGCAACATATGTCAAGGATGCCCTGACCTCAAAACTGTCTCCTGTCTCTACTCCCTCTCATCCATCCTACCAGCAGAATGCACTCCTAAAGGATTCTCATCACGTCACCACCCAACTCAGGCGCCAGTTCTCTGAGCATTCAAAACAGCCTTCCACAACGTGGCTCCAACCTACCTTCCCACCTGAATGCTCACTACAAAAACCCTCTATGTCCCTACCCAAAAGGCCAGTACTGCTCAGGCCAGAAGACTGTTCCTATGCTCTAGTCTGACCAAAATATAAAGCGCATATTATTTGCCAGGTGGTGGTGGCACACAACTTTAATCCCAGCACAGGGGAGGCAGAGGCAGGCAGATCTCTGAGTTCGAGGCCAGCCTGATCTACAAAGTGAGTTCCAGGACAGCCAGAGCTACACAGAGAAACCCTGTCTCAAAAAAGAACAAAAAATAAAAACTAAAAACAGCATCAAGAGGGGAGCTAGATACGATGGTGCACCCCTGTAATCCCAACACTTAGGAGGCAGGAAGGGAAAAAAGAGCTAATGTGGTGACACACACCTATAAGGCAGGAAGACTGCAGAAGTCTGAGGCCAGCCTGACACATGAGGACCAAGAGCAGAGAGGAAGGAGAACAGCATTCTTGCCGGCAGTAAACGGGATCCTTGTACTCCCATGTTCTGTATCTTCGCTGTTTTCAGTGTTCACATCATGTCTGCTGTTATGTGTGCAAGTGCATTTGGAAGGCAGAAGACAACTTTGAGAAACTGCTTCTTGCCTTTTGCCTTGTAGAGGAAGGGTCTTTCTTGTTTCTGGCAGTATATGACAGGTTAGCTGTCCTCAAGCCTCTGATGGCATCCATCTCCACTTGTCCCATCTCACCACAAAAGTGCTGGGATTAAAAACAGAGGACTACCACACCCAGCTTCTTACATGAGTTCAGGGGCTAGAACTCAGGTCCTCAGGCTCGCACAGCAAGTGCTATTACAAGCTAAACCGTCTTCCCAGGGGGCATGCCGTCATTTTCTGCAGTGGTTCTCAACCCATGTCCACGACCCCCTTGTGAGTCACATATCAGATATCCTGCATATACATATTTACAGTATGCTTTATAACAGCAAAATTATAAAGTAGCAATTGCAGCAAGAAGATTTAATAGAATCATTGTATCTACCATTAGAATAAAATAGTTGTTTTTCATTGTATCTAAGGTAAACTTCAAAATGAATAGTTGCTTTCTAGGAGTACTTTGACGTTGAAGAAATCATTGTGGAAAACAGTGAGGTTTGCTGCTATCTATAGGGTTGTCTTTCTGAAGGAGCTTTAGAGCCTTTGCATGGCTTTGGTCACAAGATGCTCCGGGCACACCTGGATACCTCGGATTACTGCGCACTGCAAACAGTACACAGTAAGGACTAAAGGGGCCCAGGTGTGATGTTTTCTTCAGAAGGACATGTGATTTTAGATCAGGGGCTTCGGGTGGGGAACTTGTTTTACTCAAAAAACCAACTTCTGTGTAACAGTCAATAAATACATCTTCGTACAGTGATTCAGGGCTCAGTTCATAGAAACTGCTCCTCCCTGCTGCCAGAAAGCCTAAAATTCATCTTGGAGTGACCTTCTTTCTTTGACCAACCCACAACACAGAGCACCCAGACAGCAACGAAATAATTTTATGGCTGAGGGTCACCACAACATGAAGAGCCATATTAAAGGGTCCCTGCATTAGGAAGGTTGAGAACCACTGTTCTAGAATCTAGGTTAATAGAGGAGTAAACAAGCCAGGGGTGTGTGTGTGTGTGTGTGTGTGTGTGTGTGTGTCTTTAACACCAGCACTTGGAAGCAAAAGCAAGTGGATCTCTGAATTCAAGGCCAACCTGGTCTACAGAATGAGTTCCAGGCCAGGCAGAGCTACACAATGAGACCGTGTCTCAAAACTAAAATTTAAATTAAAAAAAAAAAAAGAAACATATAGATAAAAATATCCTGGGTTTAATACTCAGCCAAGGTTAAAAGGTGGGAGGAGACAGATGTGTGTAAGTAAAAACACTCCAAGTTCCCTCAAGTAGGATTAAATACTCCCTTTCCAAAAGTAGCACAGAACTTCATCTGTGCCTATCAGAGGTCATCTACGATGGCCTTCGCAGACACGCACTTCATTCCCCGTTGTAAGACACGGCAATGGAAGACAAGAACTTTGTATTTATCTCTATCACAACCCAAAAGGACTCCCCGCTCAGTATTCCGTTGTTTCTATTTGACAGTCCTCCCGATGAGTTCTTCCTGCTAAGGCCCGTGGCCCGCCCTCACCAGTTGGTTCCACGCTCGTCTCTCCACTGACAGACGCGAAGCCGAGAGCCGACTTGCCTTCAGTCACAGTGCTAGGGAGCGGTAGGCAGCAGGGCTCCATCTGAGGACTTACGCCCGGGGCCCCCGAGATTCCGGAACACCCCTTCTTCCCGCACTGCTGTCCATCCTGGCTCCCCAGAGGCTGAGCAGCCTCCCCAGGCACCCCGGGGCTCCTACGAGCCAAGCGGGCGGCGCGGCGCCCAGGCTCGGCCGGCGCGGCGAGCGCGACGGCCTCGGCCAAGGCCGGGCGGACCCCGCGGGGCGGCGGCCCACCTGCTCAGAGCCGGCTCCTCGTCGCTCGGCTCTTCCACCGCGTAGGGGTCGTAGTCGTCCTGGAGCCGGTTCATGGCGGCCTAAGGGAGCCTGCGGGGACCACGGACGGTCCCCGGGTCTGCGTACTCCGCGGGCTCCTTCCCTAAAGCGTCCCGAGACTCGACTTCCGCTCGTAACCCCGAGTCCTTCCGGTGCGCCTGCGCAGGCCTTCCGAAGCTGCCAAGCGGGGACGGGATCACGTCGGTACCTTGCGTTTTCCTTTCCGCAGAAAACAGAAGTTGTCTTTGGTTTTTGGTTTTTGGTTTGTTTGTTTTTGGAGACAGGGTTTCTCTGTGTAGCTTTGGAGCCTGTCCTGGAACTCACTCTGTAGCCCAGGCTGGCCCCGAACTCACAGAGATCCCCCTGCCTCTGCCTCCCGAGTGCTGGGATTAAAGGCGTGCGCCACCACTGCCCGGCCAGCAGTTGTCTTTTTATGGATTTTCGTTGTTGCTGCTTTAGGTTTTGAGACGGTCTCACTGGGCTCACTGACCTGAAACTCGCCGTGTAGCCCAGGCTGACTTCGCTCCGCCCACCTTGGCCTGCGGAGCGCTGAGATTACAGTTGTGTGCCACCATCCAGTCTGATTTCTTTCTTCCAAGTTGTTATCTTGGCCTTTCCCCCCAGGTTTTTATTAGGCTTAGTGATTGTGTGCAAATAAATGATAGACCTCAGAAAAATACCATGGAAAAAAACCTATTTTCTATAAGTACTTGAACATTACAAGGGTGAATCTCCTAGAGTTGAATCCTGCGAGGATGAGTTCCATCCGCTGGCGGAAACGACCAGCTAGAAGTTCTTTTTGGCCCAGAGCCTGTGAGCCCCTGGGTGGCCCCGGACCTCGAAGATAGGTTTTCACCTCCCTTCTGGTTTCCAGACTTGACCCTCCATCAACAGCAAGCCCCGCCCCTCCACCCTCCAGCTTTAGCGGGCGGAGTCTTACTTAGGGGACAACGCGCGCGTCCCCACCACGTCACCACAGAGGCGTGGTGCATGTAAATGACATGCACGCAGAGGATGCCGGTTCCCCGCACGTAGACTTCCCACGCCGTAGATGAATAAGATTCACATGCGGTCCAGGGTGTTTTTAGAGTGCACTATTAGATCAAGGGACTGGGAGGGAAAGAAGGCACAGTAAAGAAAAGACCGTAAGTGTTGAGTGAGTCTATAATGATGGAGAGCCTGGGCCCGGCCCAAGCAACTCATACTTACCTGGCAGGGGAGATACCATGATCACGAAGGTGGTTTTCCCAGGGCGAGGCTTATCCATTGCACTCCGGATGTGCTGACCCCTGCGATTTCCCCAAATGCGGGAAACTCGACTGCATAATTTGTGGTAGTGGGGGACTGCGTTCGCGCTCTCCCCTCATCTTTGAAGGTTTAATGTCAGGGTCTCTAACTTTAGTTTTTCCTGGCAGGTTCTGTCAATGTAGTTTATTTAGCTGTACGTGGTTTATGTTTGAGAAGGTGGTGCTTGCTGTTACGTGGAACTCATGTACAGCATTTAACATCGAATAGTAGGAGTAACTCTCACAGCTTAACAGTTAAGAGCTTTGGTAGTAGTACATTCTTATAAATCAAATACTAGCAGCAACTTATCGCAACGTAAATATTAAAAAGTTTGGTAGTATAGTGCCCTTGAACGATGCAAAACTAAAAGCTATTTTGTTTGTGGTGGAGGCTCAGCTCTGAGGATGGTGCGGGCCCCTGAGTAGTGGTGGGTGCTGAAAAGAAAGGACCGGAGCAAGATACCTACTTAAGGAAATAGTAACATTCCTTCTCCATGTCCTCTGCTTCAGTTTTTGCCCCCAGGTTTCTTCTGCCTGGATTCCTGCCCTTTCTTCAGTGATAGACGGTGATGTGAACTGAGAATTCTGACATACCTTTTTCTCTCCAATATCACAGCAGTAGAAACCCTAAGATAGGCATCATTTGTTGTGACCCAGTGAATTTCATTAAACTTGTCTGTGTATGGAAATTCGTCACTAGGAGGAAAAGTCTCCCTAGGAGTGCTGGGGTTACAGATGTGCACTAGGAGTGCTGTTGGGCTAAATGGTCATGCCTTCTATATATCCAGAAACGTTTCTCTGCAGCACGTTGGTGTAATGGCTACTGCAGAGATCCACAACCGGTCAAAATTCTGAGAATAAAGTAACTGTGAGCGCTCAATTGCTGATGAGTGGTCTACACCAACCTCCCCCACCCAAGCAAGGTTCAGGGAACTCAGAAGAGGGCCAGAAGAACGTAAGGACTGACAGTGTGGGAGGAGAGCTGTGAAATGCTGTCTTTCCGACATGATGCAGCCAATGTGCACATCACCTCACGGAAGCTGTGTTTACAGGCACTCACAAAATCTGCACAAGGGGCTGGAGGAGGTAGCTCAGGGATGAAGAGCACTCATTGCTCTGGCAGAGGACCAGCCCTTCCAGCGCTGAGTCGGGGCAGCTCATCTGTTGTAACTCCAGTTCCAGAAGTAGAGAAAGGAGACTGACTCTCCAGGACAAGCTGGCTATAGACTTGAGAGACTTGCTGAATCAGCCAGCTCCGGTTCACAGCAAGAGACACTGCCTCGGTTGAGAGAGAGAGAGAGATATCAAGGAAGATATTCTATTGCAAACTCTAACTTCTGCCCACATTGCACATACATGTGCAAGTGCACACATGTCCCCACATTTTTTAACATGGTGCATACCACAAACATGTCCATGCATAATTTTTTCTTTTTTATTTTTTTGTTTGTTTTGTTTTTGTTTTTCGAGACAGGGTTTCTCTGTGTAGTTTTGGTGGCTGTCCTGGATCTCACTCTGAAGACCAGGCTGGTCTCAAACTCACAGAGAGCCACCTGCCTCTGCCTCCTGAGTGCTGGTATTAAAGGTGTGTGCCACCGCCGTCCAGCTTAATTTTTTTTCCTATGCACAATGAGGTACATCTTTAACCCAGCATTCAGCAGGCAAAAGCAAGGCAGATTTCTGTAAGTCTGAGAACAGCCTGGTCTATATAATGAGTTCCAGGCTACCCAGGACTACGTGGTGAGAGCCATTCTCAACAAAATAATAGACATTTTTAAATGTTCCCATGGGAAGGAAACCACCCGCTGCAGAGGATAACTCAAAGGAGCCAGCTCACTCCTGCCCTGTGAATTCTGGGAATGGAACTCAATCAACTTCAGTGGCAAGGGCCCTCACCTGCTGAGTCATCTTTTTCTATACCTTTTTTCTTTTCTTTTCTTTTCTTTTCTTTTCTTTTCTTTTCTTTTCTTTTCTTTTCTTTTCTTTTTCTCCCTCCTGGAACTCACTATGTAGACCAGGCTAGCCTTGAACTCACAGAGATCTGCCTGCCTCTGTGTCTCAAGTGCTAGGGATTAAATGGCCAGCCCTAAGAACTTTCTAATTTTTTTCCCTTTTTTTAAATATATAATTTATTTTTATTTTATGTCATTGGTGTTTTGCCTGAATGTATATCTATACGGGTGTCACAAGCCCTGGAACTCGAGTTACAGAGAGGTGTGAACTGCAATGTGGATGCTGGGGCATGCACCTGGATCCTCTGGAAGAGTAGTCAGTGCTCTTAACTGCTGAAGCATCTCTCCAGTCTCAATTTTTAAATGTTTAAAAAGTCATTTTTATATAGGTGCATGTGGGTGTGTGTGTCACATGTGTATGGGTACCTGCAGAGGCCAGAGGAGGGTGTTGGATTATATCTCAGGAGCTATAGTTATAGGCAGTTGTAAAACATCTAAACTGGGTGCTGGGAACCAAAGTTGGGCCCTCTATAAGAGCAGCAAGTGCTTTTAAACGATGAGTGAGCTATTTCTCCAGTCCCCAAAATGAAATTTAAAAAAAAAAAATTAAAGGTTGCTGGACAGCACTGGCCTATAATTTCAGCACTCCAGAGGCAGAGGTAGGTAGATCTCTGAATATATAGACCAGCCTGGTCTATAGAGTGAGTTCCAGGACAGCCAGAGATAAACAGAGAAACCTTGTACATAAATAAAGAAATAAAAAATGTAAAGCTTTAGCAGACTAGGGGTGATGATGCGGACCCTTGATACCAGCACTTAAGAGCAGAAGCAGGCAGCTTGACTCTGTACTACTCTAAGGAAAAACTTCCCATCCGGTTTAACGACTTATGCCTACAAAGGTATGTGTCACCACGCCATGCTAAACCCTGCCATTTTATTCTTTTTTTTTTTAAGAGACAAATGTCTTTAATTTGGTTTATGGGTCCCAGGAGTCCATAATAATCCATAGAGAGAACAAACTGCTAATGGGCAAAGATATAAGCTCTTGAATCTCACACACCCCCACCCCCACCCCCTCCACCCCCAAGACATACTTGTTCCAGCAAGGCTCCAGTCCCAAAAGCTCCATAGCCTCCCCTAACAGTGTGGCCAGCGGGGGAACAAGTGTTCACATATGTGAGCCGATGAGGAGCATTTGTCACCGTCGGGGGTTGGGGGGGTGGGGGGGGAAGAGCGGTGGGAATTCTAAACTAAAGGAAAGTTCCATTCAGATTCCCACTCTGGTCTCCTATGAAAAGGGAGATTGAAATAAAAATTCGGTCTCCATTGGTCGATATTTAAATTTGCATGTTACATCTCATGTCTAGGTGATGAACTGAGACTTCTGAAGCTATTCGTCTTGGCAGTTGACATAAGAACAAGGTCAGAAAAGGGACACAAGACTCGGTTGGTTCTTTTGAGAACAGCGCATGAGTGTGGAACACCTAGTCAGCAAATGGCTAGGAGCTGAGATGCCATTATAGAATTTAGGCCCTCAGTCCCTAACCATAAACCATGGACACATAAAGCATGCCTGAAAACTGAGGCGTCCCACTTGTAATAGTCATTGGCAATAGCAATCAGTTCAAGAGGTGCCTGGGTGCCCAGGCCTTCACTGGTTTAACCACCAGGACAGAAAACAGTTCTGATCAACCAGACTGGTAATTGAGAGCATAATGGACCTAAATAAATAAACTCAACATAAATCTTTTCCTCCACTGGGTGCTTCTACATCCTTATCTTTTAACAATGTTATCACCCTGGACCACCTATACATTGGGCCTATTATTTCTTCAACATTTACTTATTCTTTGTCTAAAATCAGCATACTTTGGTCATTTCTTTGGACCTCACTCTTTT